CTTCAGATTGGAAATATTCAGGGGGACTAAAAAAAAAAAAAAACCAAACCAAAACTTCTGGGCATCAGAGTGCCTATTTGTAATCCCTGTTCTTGGGAGACTGAGGCAGGAGGATCGCAGGAAGTTTAAGGGCAACCCTGCCCCTCAATACAAAAGCAAGGGGCTGGAGAGTGATTGGCTGGTTAAGAGCACTTGTTGCTATAGCAGAGGACCCGGGTTTGGTTCCCAGCTCCTGCTTGGATGGCTCACTATTGCCCATAGCTGCAATCCAGGAGATTTGACATACAGGCAGGGGAGATAAGGTCACAAAAGAAGTGAACCCCCTAAATTCCAGGACTACAACAGGCCTGAAAAGGGGTCTGAACCCAGCCATTCTCTTCCAACCTAGGGTGCTCATTCTACCAGGGACTGTGAAGGTTGGGCCCTGGCTATGATTGTGGCTCTGCCCCAGGCCTTATTCCTTACCTGGTCATCCAGGTTGGCGAGATGGAGAGTTCAGGACTTGGCACAGGGCCAGCAGACCATCAAATGGGGTGGGACACAGACAGGTGAGACAGGAGGGGAGGTCACAGCCACACACCAACACACAGCCACCGGTGCATGCAACTTCAGGAAGCCTGTGACCTCTCAGCAAGGGACAGGCTGATGGTTCGTGCAGCTGATCGGAGGCCCTACAGTAACTGCACAGGGCACAGACAGATGTGTTGGTGTATAAATGGTCACTGACTTTGTGCTAAGCATTACCTCGGAGTCACCAGATACATCCATTGTTGTCTCCTGCTCAGCTCAGGTCACAAAAAGGGGTGGGGGCTGGGACTTGAATCGGGACACCAGGTGGGGCAGGCAGCAGCAGGAATCCTGCCAGGCCCTGGGGGCAGTGACTCAGTGGCAGGTCCCCACATCCCTTCTCCCACCCCTCCCTTTTCAGCTGACTCAGTCAGACTGTCCAGGGCCTTCCTCTGGAATTCTGGGCTCCAGGCAGTGTTCTTGGCCACCTCCTCTCGTCAGGCAGGGAACCCCCTCCATAAAGACCCTACACGAGCTTCCCTCCACCTTCAGTTTCCTCTCTGCTTCAGGTCTGCGGGATCGAACATCTCTTCTAACCACCTTGGGGGAAGAGGAGGCACACACAGGACCCTTGAGGAAGCTGGGCGGTACAGCCTGGGGAAGGCATGGCCAGCCCAGCCTTAGTATCCTGTCTCCCCACAGCTGTCCCCCGTTTGTCCCTACCTCTCAGCTCAGCCTCACCTCTGGCCTCCCGCCCCACCCGAGGACAGGTGGGCACAGATCTCTGCCACTGCCAGAAACTAGAATGAGTCACCATTTCTGCTCTGTGTTGCCAAGCTGCTGGGGATGGCCAAGTGGGGGAAGGGACGCAGGGACAGGGCCACCACACACACACACACACCCCTCCTCTGTCTGTCTGTCTGTCTGTCTATCTATCTGTCTGTCTGTCTGTCTGTCTGTCTCCTTCTCCATTCCGGATGTTCCTAGCTCTCCAGGAGATCCCAATTCCTGGGATGCCATCAGAGGTCTTCAGAGAGGAAGAAGTAGGTGTTAGAGCCCAGGGACCCTGAAAGATGGGAAGAAAAAAGAGGGTCCCAGCCTCTGTGTACTCCGTGACTGGCCTGGGGAAGACACAGCCTCCCTCCTGACAAAGGTGAATGTGGGCACCCTGTTGGTGCCCTACCAGCCTGTGCTCCGCTCCTGACCCTTGTCTCCTCTAACTTCTTCTCCTTTCTGCCCCATTCCTCATCCTCAAATCTGGGACATTCTAGCCTACTTCTAGCAGGTGAGCAGGGTAGTCCCAGGGAGATGGGGATGTAGAGAAAGCAGACGAGTGGTCAGAGGGGTAGAATGAAGCCCTTGCCTGCAAGAGGATGACGGTTGATCTCAGCTCTGCATGGCCAGAAGGAAGGTCAGGCTAGGAGCAGAGAGAGGGCCACACATTTTAGTGGAGGGAAAACTGAGCTAGAGCAGCTAGCAGGAACTGGTCGGGGCCTGTGGGTGAGTGGGGGCGGGGCGGAGTACACATAGCTGGCAGGTCGGGGGCATTTATATCTTCCAGTCTGGTGGAAAAACCAGGAAGGTTTAAACCTGAGGGGTGTCTGCCTTGAAATGATCTCTCAGGGATGTTGTGCGTTTGTAGTCCCAGCTACTTGGGATGCTGAGGCAGGAGGATTACTTGAGCTAGGGAATTTGAGGCTAGTGTGATCTCATCTCAGCAACAAAATAAAGAACAACCCTTCTGGCTTCTCAGTGGGAAACACACTGTGACTCAGAGCCTGAGGTGGGGTGTGGAGGTGTCAGAGGTGGGATGTGGAGGGGGTTTAAACCCGGGGATGTGCTCTTGAGGAGCTGGGAAGAGAACTGACTTTGAAGGTGGAGGCGCCTCAGCTCACTCACGCCATATATTCCTGCACAGGGAGGATTCATCATTACCCACATCCAACCGTTCCTCTAAGGGGAAGGCCTTTGTCCAAGAATGCATGGGCTAAGGCCCAGTGTCAGACCCCAGGGAACAGGTCTGTTCTTCCCCTGTTCTCCCTAGGTGTGGCTGGCACAGCTTACCCTGTGTCATCTGCAGACAGAGAAATGGAGCCTTAGGGAGGACCAGCACTCCTGGTCAGGAACCTGGGCACCAAGGAGTGCTGGCACAGTGGCTCTGCCCTCTGTCTCCCTGCCACATCCTTGCTTCCTTGGCGTGGTGACGGGGGAAGAGTAATGGAGCAGAAGCCACAGGAAGACAGTATTGGGAGGGATGCTTAGTGGTATCCATCCACCCACCATGCTGGTGACATCTGGGAACAGCAGACTGGGCAGGGGCATCTGCTGACTATGGAGCTGTGGCATAGTACTGAGTGTCTGCTGCCTGGCTCCAGACCCACAGAGGCAAGTGTGTGTGCTTGCCTGTGAGTGTGTGTGCATGTGAGTGTGTATGTGTATGCAATCGTGTGTCACCATGTATGTGCATGGATGTGTGTCTGTGTAACTAACTGTACATATGTATCTGTTAGTTTGCATGTAAAACTGTGTGTGCCTTTGAGTGTGTCTGTGTGACCACGTACATCCATGTGAGTGTGTCATTGTAAATGTGTGTGAGACTGTGTGTGTGTGTGTAACCACACATATGGCATGTGTGTAGTCCTGTCTGTAAACAGAGAATGTATTTGTGTGTCCATGGGAATGTGTCTGTGAAACCAAGTGCATGCTTGTGAGTGTACATGTGCGTGTGTGCACATGTCGGGTGTTTCCCCCTACCGCTTCTGGGACCCGATTTGACCCAGTGACCCTCACGTTGTTGCTTTCAATTGGACTCTAGTTTCAGTGCCTAATCCTTGGCCCTGCTTTCGCCTCTGATGAGAGAATAATTAACCAAAGGCTCATTTCCCAGGCTTCCTTCCCATTATCCCTGCCAAGTGAAAATATTCACCATGGGGAGGAGACACTGCTTGCTGGGGGAGCACAGAGCCAGAGTGTCCGCAGCCAGTAGAGGCGAGGTACTCCTTGGGAGGGAGTCTAGTGTGACTCTGGACCCTCAGCCTTGGGAGAGGAGAGGGACCCTAGTGGATTTGCTACCTCACTGTGTGGCAAGTTCTTGCCCTCTGGGCCTCTGCTTCCTCCTTTGTTAATGTGTAGGTTTGCACTCGAATTTAGACTTTCTAAAGGAGTTCTTCTGAAGGTGAAAAGGTGATATTCCAAACAAAACCAAGCAACGGGCGGTCTGTGGTTCCTTAAGGTTGGGAAGGGATAGGTTAAGTAGGTAAACTAGTTTCTTCACGGCAGGACAGTTCACTCGGAGGCTTTTGCGGTTAAACTTTGTTTCCTTGGGTGGGTGATGCATCAAATTCAGAAAGTATGGGTGGGTTTGGGGACTCACACATCTTTCCAGCTCGTTCTGTGTCCTCTCACCTGTGTTCCCCTCCCCCAGGGCACTTTCCAGGACCTAGAGAACAGCTATCACGTGAGTGCAGACAGACCTTGTGGGAGTGAGTGCTGGTCTCCAAGGTGGAGGGGAGTTTTGAGGCCATTTATCTCAAACATAGTTGTCTTTAACCACAAAGCCCTCCTCCAGCATTGGACTACAGTCTGAAGAAACAGCCATTGAGAAATACAATCATCCAGATCTCCATGTACCATCATCTTCACCCAAGGAAGGGAGGTGCAGTGTGCATGCCTGCAGGGACTGATCCCACCGTCGAAAAGCTGGAAAAGCTGCCCGTAACCCCACCCCTCGGCGGTCCACACAGACTGTCCTGAGCTTGCGGGAAGACGCCAGCTCTTGACAGTATGTTCGGGAACACTGAGACTGGGAGGGGCAAGCCCTTGTCGTGGTCACTGGCCGATAAGAGGCCCAGCTGGGAACAGGATGCAATGATTCCCACATGGAACTACAGAGGCGCACAGCTGATCAGGGTCTTGCAAATGCTTGCACACAAGATGTTTCGGGGAGTGGGGGGAGAGGCATGTGAGTGTCCTGTCTCGGGTTGAAGTCCTGCCCAACACTGTGAGGCTATTATCCCAGAAGATGAACAAGTGTGAAAGTTCTGCCGGCTTCTGAGGGCCCTGTCCCACACTCTACAGCCATTTCCTGAGAAATAGACATGGATTATGCCCAGGAATGTGACTTCAGGAAGAGTGGATATGCCATGCAGGTTGAAGTGGGTGTTCTGGGGGGTCCTGCGTCTGAGATCTGAACCCAGAGCCGGCTGAGTTGATATGACCTGTTTGCCGCAGGGCGTGTGTGGGCAGCGCAGCGGACACTTGTCCTGTCCAGGGCTCCGGGTAGCCGGCTGCACCCTGGCGTTCGGCGTGTGGTGGGTGCGGACAGCTGTTGCGCGTGGCCAGGACAAGGTGTGCGGCGGTGGCGCGCAGGGGTGTGATCTTGCGTGTGGCGGCCCCGCCCCGTCGGGGGCCGGGCAGGTGTAGGCGGGCCGCGGGGACCCCGCCAGGACAGGCCGGGAGAGCCGGCGGGAAACAGGAAGCGGGGTGGGGTGGGGGGTGGGGAGGCGCGGCCGGCTCGGAGAGCGGCCGGGAGCACGGCCGGATCGCGGAGGGGCGCGGGCGATGTGGGGAGGCCCGGGCGGCCGCCGGGTCGGGGGCGGAGCCAATGACCCCGAGGGCACCGCCCCGTCGCTCCGCCGGAGCCGTCGGCCGAGCACCCAGCCCGGAGTCCAGGAAAGTTGCGGCACCCGCGGTGAGTGCGGAGAGGACCAGGGCGGGACGGAGCGTGGATAGGGAGGGACGCGGGCGGGACAGCGTGAGGACCCGAAAGGACGTTGACGGGACAGTTGGGGAACACGGGAGGACGTGGGCAGGACAGCTCATGGACCCGGGAGGTTACAGGCACAGCAGCATGGGGAACCGGGAGGACAGAGCGGGACAGCGCGGGGACCCGCGGGCGACGCCCAGGTGCGGTGGCCGCGGCTCCGTGCCCACTGTGCCTGTTGCTCGCAGACTCCGAGGACGCGACAATGCAGGGCCGAGCGGACGCAGGCGAGGCCGATGAAGAGGCGGGGGCCGGCTCGGGGTCGGAGGCCGAGGAGGACGCGCTGTGGGAGCGGATCGAGGGCGTCCGCCACCGGCTGACGCGCGCCCTGAACCCGGCCAAGCTCACGCCGTATCTGCGCCAGTGCCGCGTCCTGGACGAGCAGGACGAGGAGGAGGTGCTCAGCACATACCGTTTCCCGTGCCGTGCCAACCGCACCGGTGAGCCCGCCGCCGCCAGGGGTTTCCTGGGCTCACTCCAGATAGATGGATGTGGTTGCGGGTGCGGATGGCGATCCTCGTGGGAATCTTTACTGTGCTCTTTGACCTCTCTGGTTCTCCCTGTCTGTCCCATTTGTGTGGCAACGCACCGCAAGAGAATCAGTTTTCCTCAAGTGCTGAAGTTTGGCCTCAATTTTCTGAGACTTCGCTCACACTGGGTGTCCTTGGGCCAGAGCTGGAAAGGGAGCCAGGAGTCTCAGGGAACTTAAGCCACTGAGGGTATTTTAATAATGCCTGGGAAAACAGGCATGGATGCTTGTGTGTTTGTGTGTGTGTAGAGGGTGCTGGGATCAGCTGCAATGCAGGTGCTGTGGGGAACGTCTTTTTTTGCCAGCCGGAGAAGACTGAGTTTGGCTCCTGATGTGTTGGGACAGGCCCCTGTGTGTGTCACAGTCCAAAAATCTGGGGAACGTGGGCCCTGGAGCATTGTGGTGTTGGAGAGCAGGGGCACTGGGGAAGCCTTCATCCTGACCCCGCTACTTCAACCTTTGCCCTCAGGGCGCCTCATAGACATCTTGCGCTGCCGTGGCAAGAGGGGCTTCGAAGCCTTCCTGGAAGCCCTGGAATTCTATTACCCAGAACACTTCACGCTGCTCACTGGCCAGGAACCTGCCCAACGCTGCTCTATGATCCTTGGTGAGCAATCTCAGTGGGTGCCCCAGCCTCACTGCCAGGTCAGAGGTTTCTTTACCCTAGCCATATCAGGACCTACTCCCACTATACCTGTTGGACAGATAGAAAAACTGAGGCAGAGACTGCAGAAGTTTACTCAGGGCTCCCACTGTAGGCGGAGGGTAGGCTGGATCCAGAGTTCAGAGTCCATGTGCTTAGCAAGACTCTTTCTCTCTAAGCATCTTCCCAAATGGTATGACTTGCACACACAGCTTAGCGTTTCTCGTATAAACATTTGCCAGTCAGTGAGATGGCTCAGTGGGCAAGGACGCAAGCCAGTAGGCCTGGCCACCTGAGTTCAATCACCAGGACCCACATGGCGGAAGGAGAGAACCACCTTCTGAAAGTTGTCTTTGACCTCCACATACATGCTCTCTCCTGTCCCCCAATAAATAAATAAATAAATAAATAAATAAATATCATAATAATAAGAAATTCAATTCCAGTGTGGTGTGTTGGTCTGTAACAACTCTCGGGAGGCAGAGGCCAAGTTCAAGGCCAGCCTAGGCTACATAGCTGCAAGCCAGCTTTGACTACACACCCACACCTCGTGCCTTTTTTGTTTTTTTTTTTGGGGGGGGGGACAGTTGGTGAGGCTTCTTTTCTGAGCAGTTAGACGTCACACTCAGGTGTGGCCTGCCTGTCTTGTTCAGGATCTTGGTTTTTGTTGTTGTAGTTTTTTTTTTTTTTTCTGGAATTGTTGGTCCCATTTGTTTGAAGTGACAGCATCATCAATGTCTATTGGTGAAGCTGCAGCGTAAACTCATTTGTGGGATTCCTTGCTGGTGGACAACCAGGTTGTTTCTGGTTTTGTAACATTTTATCCTCCCATGGGCAGTTCTGTGCAGCTCTACCCTGGGCTGGGGGGAGTTTCTGAAGTGGCGTTCTCAAAGAATGCGTACATTTTAAGTGTTTTATGACCATGCCTCCCTCATCCCCCAGCAGAGTGTAGGGTCCCCTTTGCTATACCTTTACCGCTCTCGAGCATGGTCTTGAGACATTTTTGTCTGGCAGATATGTAAAAATCATGTTTTGGGGTTGTATCTTATGGTTTTTTTGTTTTTATTTTTGTTTTTCCCTTTGAGACAGGGTTTCTCTGCGTAATGCCCTGTAGATCAGGCTGACCTCGAACTCAGAGACTCACCTGCCTCTGCCCACCAAGTGCTAGGATTAAAGGCACGCGCCACTACCTCCCCAGCAAGGTTTTTAATCTTCTTAAGTGATGTAGTTCATAGCTTACTATGTAGTGATCAGCGAGTAAACAAGATGGGTCCAGCGGTGATTATTTTGTAGTGCTTATTAGGTTGAAATAAGTTGATACAGAGTCTGGTATGAAGAATGACGCCAACAAACACTAGTGCCTGGCCTGGGATTAACTGTTATTGCTAGTGGACTGGAACGTGTTTAGTTTTTTTTTCCTTCTGGTTTTATTTAGTTGTTTGCTTTTCTTGTTGTCTTTGTGTATTAAGGCTCTGAGTCCCAGTATACCTTTCTCCTCCTTTAGTTTTGACTGCCCTTTAACCTGGTTACTTTTTTCACTCTTCAGACTTTTGTTTTGTTTTGTTTTTTTGAGACAGAGTTTCTTTGTGTAGCCCTGGCTGTCCTGGAACTCTATAAACCAGGCTGGCCTCCATCTTAGAGATCCACCTGCTTCTGCCTTGCTAGTGCTGGGCTTAAAGGCATGTACCAGTGCACCTGGCCAGAGATTTAAAATAAATAAACAAGCAAATAAACAAACTTTATTTTAATATAGATTTTTCCACTTTATTTTTCTCTAACTCCTGGATTTTGTGCCTCATTTGGGAAGAACTTCCTTGTCTAACAATAGCAAGAATATCTTCCCTGAAGTGATTTTATGGTTTGAGTTTTTCTGTGCAGTCCAGCATCTCCCTTGGTTTTATTCAACCCTCCTGAATATTCTTTTTCTTGTCCTGGCAGATGAGGAGGGGCCCGAGGGCCTGACCCAGTTCTTGATGACTGAGGTTCGGAGGCTTCGGGAAGCCCGAAAGAGCCAGCTACAGCGAGAGCAGCAGCTCCAGGCCCGGGGCCGGGCACTGGAAGAAGAGCGGGCAGGGCTGGAGCAGAGGCTGCGGGAGCAGCAACAGGCACAGGAACGCTGCCAGCGGCTGCGTGAGGACTGGGAGGCCGGCAGCCTGGAGCTGCTGCGGCTCAAGGACGAGAACTACATGATTGCCATGCGCCTGGCTCAACTCAGCGAGGAGAAGAACTCAGCTGTGCTGCGCAGCCGGGACCTGCAGCTGGCGGTAGGCCCTGGGGAGGCGGTGGGTTTGGGTAGCGAAGGGAGACGTTTGAACAGCAAAAAGGTGGTAACATGGTCATCAGTATATGCTTCAGAGCCGTCATCCACCCAGTTTTGACTGAGAGTTAGTTCTTTGACTGCTTTGTGTTCGTGTCTCGTTATGTTATGACTGGTTCGGTACTCAGGGAGGCACCCCCACAAAGCATGTGGCCATTCTGGGACTAAGGTTATTATTACTATTATTGTTATTATTTTGAGACAGGGTCTGTAGTATCCTGAGTTGATCTCAAGCTTGATATGTAGCAAATGAGAGCCTTAAACTTCTGATCCTCCTGCCTCCACTTCCCAAATACTAGGACACAGGCGTCTCACTTACCTGGTGTGTAGTGCTGGTAACTTGGTGCATACTAGGCAAGCGCTGTGCTGAGTGTACCCCTATATTCCGGGAAGAGCTGTGCTAAAGTGTACCCCTACAGTTTGGGAAGAGCTGTGCTGAAGTGTACCCCTACATTCCGGGAAGAGCTTGCTGAAGTGTACCCCTACAGTCTGTGAAGAGCTGTGCTGAAGTGTCCCCCTACACTCCAGGAAGAGTTTTGGTTGTCACAAGTAGGACAGCGATGCCATTAGCATTTAGTAAGTAGAGGCCAAAGACGCTGCTGCATGGGTACCATGCCCAGGATAACCCCGCAACAGGTTTATGCAGCTCAGAATGTCAGTAGTGCCAAGGTGATGAAACTTTGGGCTGTAAGGATTCAGTGAGGTGCAGGCTGGGAATGTCAAATGCAGAGAATGCTTGCCAAGGGCAGCGTTGAGCCTGTGCCCTGTCAATCATCGCAGTCATCCAACACAGGTTCTGTGCCTGGCTTGTCCTCACAACACACGACGCTCAAGTTCCTGTCTCCGTACAGACACAGGGGCTCACACTGGTAGAGGGTGTGTCCAAGGACTCAGAGTCTAGAATGAACTGCACTTGCCTGGTACCTCAGCAGGCCTCCTCCTGGGGATGCCATGTTGCCTGTCTGTGGCCAGTGAACTCCCATTGGGTCCTCTCCAGTGGAGCTCCAGGTCGCCTCTCATAGACTGAGGGTCTGTCAAAGGCCAAGAGATGGAGTGCCTTTCTCATTCGCCTCTATTATGTTTGAGACTCCAAATGGAGTTTCTGCCATGTTTGATGAGCGCCATGTGTTGCCCAAGCACTGAGGAATTATATGGCTCAAAGGCTTCCTGTGCCAGGGGCACACAGCAGGCTCCTCCAGGAATTAGTTTACAGTGGCTTCTGATCTTGGTATTTGGAGTCCCTCTCTCACAAGCCTGGCTTCAGTGTTGGTGGTGATGACATCAGAACTGGGGGTTGGGAACAGCACATGGGACTCTGAGGCACCATTGTCTGGGTGTGTGCTTATTGGCCAGCTCAGTGTTTTGGGGAGGGGAGCCTAGATGAGATTCCTGAGGCCGCGTCCCCACTTAAGGTGCAGGTGGTGTGTTTGCAGTCGGGAGCAGATTGTACGTGGGTGACTGGGGGGTGTCCTGTGTGTGTCATGGGGAGGGGCACTGCTGGGCTGTGCCAGTGGCTGGAAAAGATGCAGAGGAAGGGTCCTTTGCTCACAAATGGGACCGTGTGCTTCAGCGGCTGCGCTCACAGATATGGGTAGAGGGTGAGGAGGAGAGGAACAGAGGAACCCACCCCTCATCCACCTGCACATCTGGGAGCTTTTCCTGTCTTAGAATTTCAAGGGGCCTCGCAGGTGGAAGTTCTCAGTGCTGCCAATGGGCCTGGCTCCCCCATCTTGGCCTCCTCCCGCCGCGGACAGGTGTCTGCGGTGGCTGATTTAATACCGTGTTTTATAGGGTGCAAAGTTAATGAGCTGTTATTTCTAAGCAACATAAATTTAAGGAGTGAACGCTGTAATTTCGTGCTCAGGAGTTTGTACACTGGGATTAAAGGCATCCGGGTTTCCCGGGGCTCGGCTGGCTGACCTGTGTTCTGAGCTCACTGGGGAAGCCGGCTGGCCCGAGGGTCAGGCAGGAACCTGGGTGTGCATTTGCGGTTTGCTGTGAAGGGTGTGGCCAGGCCAGCCCTTGAAACCCGCTGTCTTTCTCCTCTGGGTCACAAAGCATGTTTTGTGAGTGGAAAGGAATGCGGGGGTCAAGGCTTTCTGAGTCTGCGGAGGAGGAGAGTGCTGTTCATTTGAGGAGCCGCCCACCCAGCTCCAGCCTGGGGTGTGTATGTATGTGCTGTTCTGGGCTCCGAGGCCTGGAGGACCAGCAGTCATTTTTAACCAGGACTCTCCCAGGACACCAGGCATTGGTTCTCTTGAGAACTTCACCAGAGGTCTTTGTCCTCTTCCCTCCTCTCACCCCAGCGACCTCACTGATGGTCTGCACCTGTTGCTCCTCTTCCCTCAGCTTGGCCACCCCAGAACCCACACGCATTTGGCAAACATCCCCTGGAACAAGAACACTATACTCCAGCAAACTGACCATGCGTGGTAGACCTCGGGCCAGGCATCCCCAGCTGACCACCCCCACCCAGCTCCCAGGCCAAAGGCTCTGGCTTCCCACACTGAGCTGGTGACAGGCCAGGCCTCTTGGCTTTCTTTCTAGCAGCCCCACAATGGCTGTGCCTCACTGGTGGTTGCCTCACAGCCTTCTTTGCCCCGTCATTGTCTTCCTCAGTTCTCAACAGCTCTGGAAGGCAGGGGGAGGGGAGGGGCCCACCGTGCTGATGATAAAGCTGAGGCTGAGAGGGGGATGAGGGACTTGCTTGGGTTGGCACCGCACAGGCAGTCAACACTGAAGCCTATGTCTGGATGTGGGGGAGTTGGGCATGAACCAGCAAGCTCATCTCTTGGAGAAAACTTCTCTGTAAAGAATTTCTTTCCTCTTTTTCTTTGTTTGAAGACACGGTCTCACTATGTAGCCCAGACTGATTAAGAATTTAATATTAGCCCAGGCTGGCCTTAAACTTCTGGCAGTCCTCCTGCTTCAGCCTGCTGAGAGCTGAGATTATGGGCATGTGCCACCGCACACAGTTCCTTTGTGAAGAATTTTCTGAGCCCCCTCCAACTCCCCTGTGTGTATGGGGGGGCTGCGTGGGTGGGATCTGGGCTGGGGTGAGGCCCTCAGGCCCATCAGTTTTTCTTCTCCTGGTCTAGAAAGGAGATTCAGGGAGGCACAGCTAGAGGCCTTGACTTGCTCAGGGCCACTCTCAGTTCAGGCAGAGCTGGGACCAGACCCTGTCCCCCTTCCATCCCCTTCTGCCACACTGTCGTTGGTCAAATTGTGTGTTATATGCAGGACATCTTTTCACGACTGTCCCTGGGAGGATGTCTTGGCTTTTCCCCTTCCCTCCTCCCTGTTGCTGCCATGTTTGCCACCCTGGCTCCTCTTCAGAACTGAATCTCAGGCAGAACCCCTGCCTAGGCTTCTCAGGGAACTGGGGACACCTTGGGGGTGGTTTCCAGTGGGTCCCATCCAGGCTGATTCATGTCTTGGGCCTCAGGTGGATCAACTGAAGCTCAAAGTCAGCCGGCTGGAAGAAGAGTGTACACTGCTGCGGAGGGCCCGGGGGCCACTGCCTGGGGCTGAAGACAAGGAGAGGGAGCCAGATGGTGCCGAGCTGCTCTCCGAGCTCCGTGCAGAGAACCAGCGGCTGACGGCGTCACTGCAGGAGCTCCAGGAAGGCCTTCAGCAGGTAGGACCCTGGTGCTGGGGATGTGGGTCAGCCAGAAGCCAGCCTCTGCTGCCCACTGTCCTTCTGGAACCAGAGGCTGAGAGAGGGCTCACTTCTCACCTGAAGCTCTAGGCCTTAGCATACTGCACTCCCTGGGGGTTCAATCTGGGGTCTGTAGCCAATCCCCAGAGGTATCCGAGCCCCATAAAATTGTACCCTTGGGTATATGTGAGCATTTTCCTAGAGAGAGGGGTCCCAGTTTCTCTTTTAAAATGTGATATTAGAGATCAAATCCAGAACCTGACCTAGTTTCTCCTGCTGTTTTGACCTGGGCTCACTCTAGTCCTGGCTGCTCTAGAACTGCTTCTGTAGCCCAGGCTGGCCAGCCTGTGCCTCCTGAGTGCTGGGATTATAGACCTGGGCCACCACTCCTGGCTCTTCAGGAATTTGTGACAGAGTCTCGGACCCTGAAGTGGCTGAGACAGTCCCTAGGTTTGGGTGACCCCAGGACTTGCTCAGTGTCCGTGATGGCAGCGACAGTGTGGACTGGCTATTGTTCTACACCGAAAGAGGAAAGAACATTATTTATTTTGTGTGTTTGGGGGTGCTTGACCAGATGTGGGCCTAGGGTCTGGATCTTGGATTCAGGGCCAGCCAGCCCTGTGAAAGCCTGAAGTCAGAGGGCTAGGGATAGGTCTAGGTATGGGACTAGAGCAAGTGGGAGCAGGCTAGGGTCGTGTTAGCAGCCATGGCCCTGACTCAGCTCGGAACACACCCTCATCCATTCTCCTCCCTGAGCTACACATGTCTCCTGGAGGCCAATGGGGCCAGAGGAGCCACCCACTCTCCACATACAGAACCTGAGGTCTAGGTGCCAAGTCTTGGTTGATTCGGAGTGTTGAGGGTTGTGTGTCTCCCTGTATGCCCAAGGGTGGGGTTGGAGGGCTTGGGGTTGAGGTGCCCTCTTCACCTGGCAGGAGGTGTGCCGGCAAGGGCCTGCAGGCTCTGAGCGCATCCTGCTGGACATCCTGGAGCATGACTGGAGGGAGGCGCAGGACAGCAGGCAGGAGCTGTGTCAGAAGCTGCATGCCGTGCAAGGCGAGCTACAGTGGGCGGAGGAACTGCGGGACAAGGTAGGCACTACTGCCCACCTCCCCACTCCCACCCTGCTTCACCACCTTCTGCTAATGCCCTGGTCTAGGAGGAGGATACTGCCAGGCATTGCTCATGTACCCTGGTCGCCTTGCATTGGTGTCTTCAGCAGGCACTGGGCTCGTTAATCCACACGCATCCATCCTTGTGTGTCAGTAGGGCCGTTTTAGGCTTTGCAGGGTCATTAGAAAACACATCTAAGACTCCCTAGGATGAAGAAATAAATCTTAAATAAAGGAAATAAATCTTAAATAAAAAAAAATGAAAGCCCACAGGGTTTGGGGATTGAGCTCAGTGGTAGAGTACTTGCCTCGCAAACAAAGGAACCTGGCTTCAGACTGAAGTTCAGTTCTGAGCGCCTATGTCAGGTTGCTCCCGAGGGCTCCAAGGTATCTTCTGTCGGTTGCCTTGGTTTGTCCTCTGCTGCTGTCTATACTCATGTGCACAAATCCCCCCAACCCTACATATACACATACTTAAAAATAAGATAAAAAATAAACCTTCAGCTCCAAGGCTCCCACTCCTGTAGAGGGTGTTTCTAACAGACAGGTAGGTATACAGAGTGCACACCTGAGAGCCCAAGGCAATGCTGGGAAAGAAGCTGAGAAGAGTAAGGGGGTGTGGGCTGAAGTTTCCGGGGGAGACCACGGCATGGAGGACGCTGTTGGAATCATCAAACCCACTTTATGAGCTAGGCAGTTGAGGCCCAGCAAGACAAAGACAATGTCTGAGGATATCCCCCCCACAGCGGTGGGCACTTGTTCCTGGGTTTCTGGGGTTCTGAGCCAGGCCCACCTGCCTTGCCTGTAGTACCTGCAAGAGATGGAAGATCTGCGGCTCAAACACCGAACGCTGCTGAAGGACTGTGATCTCTATAAGCACCGTATGGCCACTGTGCTGGCCCAGCTGGAGGAGATTGAGAAAGAGCGGGACCAGGTGAGCAGCGGCTCGCTGGGTGGCATCCCTCCTCCTACCGCTGGTTCTGATTTAGGGAGGAGGAGACAGAGGCAGGACCGGCATTGCAGGAAGAGACATTAAAAGTGCACTGGCGAATTGAGATGAGGTTGGCAGGCCAGGGAGACAGGTAAGCATCCTCATATATACCCAGGCAAGTTTGCTGGATTATGAAACATATGCCTCTGATGGCCACTGGTCCAGTATGGGCCTCACAGTCCCCCAGAGACTCTGCTCCCATTCTCTCATGGCCCAGGACCCAGAGAGGGTGGGCCTTGCTGATGATCACTTGGGCAGGCGGCACTGGAGCTGGGCTCAGACCCTTGGTCAATCACCCAGGGGTCCTTGCGTTGCAGCCGGGAGTTCTGCCTTTTCCTAGGAGCACTTAGAGACCCGCCTTAGACCCTGAGCCTCCCCTGCCCTCCAGGATCCTCCTGAATCTCAGTTCTCAGCCTGGAGGAGGGACCTGCAAATATTTGCTGATGGAGAAATTCCCCAAGGTTTTGGCTTTGTGTTCCTGGCATCACAGGCGGTCTGTCTCCTGTGAGGGCTGCAGGGCGGCTTCAAACCAGTTCCTTTATGCCCCTGTCCACTATGTGGGAGGCCCCCCCTCCTTGTGGGCGGGGTGGGAGGCTTTTGTCCTACCACTTGTGTTAGAATGGCTCTCTGAATCCCCTGGGAGTCTCTAGAATGTAGGTTTGGGGTGTCATTCCTGCCATTGTGATTCTGGTGCTTTTGGGGCCACTATGCTACCCAGCCCCCAAGCCTTTGGTTCTAGTTTCCCCAGAAGCACTGTGGGCAAGTCTGGGCCTGGACCTAGCTCTTGAGGACTTATCTTCATGGGAGGACAGAGCATTGGCTGCACCAGGCTGGGATGGATTACTGGCTCCTGTAGGGACCCAAGTGCTGTGGTTAAAGTTAGGTGCACAGTGGGTCTCTTGGAAGCATTTTTTTTTTTTTTATCTGAGACAGGGTTTCTCTTTGTAGCCCTGGCTGTAGAGTAGACTATGCTGACCTCAAACTCAGAGATCTGCTTGCCCCTGCCTCCTGAGTGCTGGGATCAAAGGCATGTGCCACCACTGCCTGGCTTGGAAGCCTTTTAAGGACTCCGGCCTTTCTAGCTAGAGCTACCCATAGCCCTGATGGTGTTGTTTTTCCACCTGTAAGTGAGGCCAGCGATCATTCCTCTTAGTCAGTCTCCGTATAGACGAATGAATTGATGCTAAGCCCAGGCCCCCCATACAGGAAGTGCCCACAGGCGACAGCACCATTCTCCTTTCATCCAGCCCACTGAGCCAGCGTGCCTCCCTCAGAGGCTGGCTGTCCTGCTCTCTCCAGGCAATCCAGAGCCGAGACCGGATCCAGCTGCAGTACTCCCAGAGCCTCATTGAGAAGGATCAGTACCGCAAACAGGTGCGGGGACTGGAGGCAGAGCGGGATGAGCTGCTCACCACGGTCACCAGCCTGGAGGGGGCCAAGGCAATGCTGGAGGCGCAGCTGCAGAGGACGCAGGGGGGCTCCTCTCTTAAGGTGAGTGTGGGCAGCAGCATAGTGTTCTGGGGCTGGGGTGCCGTGGACTTGGGGAACCTTGCTTCATGGGGAAAAATGTGCTGGCTTAAGGCTGGGCTTCTGCGGCGAGCTCTGGGCCAGGGCTGGGAACCTGTGAGGTCTGAGTCGAGGACCTCAGCTGGGTGGGAATGTGGTTGAGATTAACAGTAGCTGGCAGCTGAGAGGTGGGCTGGCCCCTGGGTTTCTGCTACTGCGCTGTGAGCCTGGTTGCCGCAGGACCCTCAGAGGCAGCGAGGCTAGTCTCGCCTAGACCTTGAAGTTCCACGAGAGACCAGCTGTCTCAAGCCTTTCATAGTGCGGGGCCCGGAGCGGGTCAGGGGTCTGCTGGACATCACAGTCAGGGGCTTGGACCCTTGGAGAATCAGAGAGTGGCCTTTGGGCTCTGCCAGGAGCTCTGCTGTTTCCTGTTTTTGGTCACTTGTGGTGAGCTCATGGCCTGGAGGAGTAGAAGGAAGACGCATGAGTGTGTGATCTCTCATGTGTCAGAACCTCGGTGGCTTTTACGCTGAAGTAAAAACAGACCACCAGTTCTGCTTCCCAGGCCCAGTAGGTTGGGCCTCTCCACCCCCTTAGCCAGGTCCCATGGGTCTCAGTATTGCAAATCCTGGAATCTGTCATGGTCCTCAGGAACCTTGCTCGTGCTTCTGCCCCATCTTCCTCCTCAACTGCACCTGTTCGTAACTCCAGTGACCTGAGTCCTCAGCTCAGGTCCTACTTCGCCTGGAAAGCATTGAACGCCAGGCAGGGTGGGGCTTGTGCTCTGTGCCCAGGGCACATTCCTTCTCTTGCGCTCGCCTTTGGGGGTGATTTTGTTCCTCTGCTGGCTTTCGGTCTCTCCCACTTTGAGGCATGGACTGCATGAAGGCCCAGATCTGACACCCTGTGCCCAGATCTTTCCTCTGCCTGGCATGTGGCAGGTGTCCTGACCGTGGCCAGCCTGGGCTCAGCTCTGCTCACATCCTCCCTCCTCCTCTGGCAGGCCTGTGCCTCTTCGCATTCCCTGTGCTCCAACCTCAGCAGTACCTGGAGCCTCAGTGAGTTCCCATCCCCGCCCGGAGGCCCCGAAGCTGCAGGAGAAGCCGGGGGATCTGAGGCCCATACCTCGGTAAGCTGTCACCTGCCCCAAACAAGGGAAGCCTGGGCCTTTTCTATATTGCCAAGATGCACACTGTCTCCAGTTTGCCAACTGTTGCATGTCATGGTCAAGCACATTAAGGCCCAGGGAGGCTAAGAACCTCTTTCCCCCTCCCTGTGTGTGTTTCTATGTGCAGGTGTTTCTGCATGTTTGTGTGTGCGCAGGTACGTGTGTGCGTGGATATGAGGATTGGAGGTCAACCTCAGGTGTTGATCTTGAAGAGCCATCTGCCCTATTGTTTTTTAAATTATTTTATTATTCTATTATTTATATGTATGTGTGCATATCTATGTGTGGGTACGGGTGCTCTCAGACGCCAGAAATGTCTGGTCCCTTTCAAGGTACAATTACAGGTAGTTGTGGATGTCCCACAACTTAGTGCCCAGATTGGATTGGAACTTAGGTCTTCTGAGAGCAATAGAATCTCTTAACCATTGAGCAATCTCGTTGGCCCTTACTCTCTCTCTTTTTAAAATTTATTTTTTTTATGTGCATTTTATGTTGGGTCCCTTGGAAGTGGAGTTATAGGCAGTTGTGAGTTGCCATGTGGGTGCTGGGAATTGAACCTGAGTCCTCTGGAAGAACAGTTAGTGATCTTAACCACTGAGCCACCTCTCCACACCCCTCCTTTAAAAAAAAACTTTATCTATCTATCTATCTATCTATCTATTTATTTAATTGTTTGTTTGTTTTTGAGACAGACTCTGACTGGGACCCGAAGCTCTCAGATTAGCTAGGCTACTAGCAATACACAGATCCTTCTATCTTTGCCTCCCCACCCTTGGGGTTACAAGTGTGTGCGCCATTATGCCTGGCTTTTATATCAAGTCCCCGGGCTTGCTCAACAGGCACTTTGCTGCCTAAGCCTCTCCCAGAGCCCACAGGTGTGTGGGGCCCTCGTACACTGCTGTCTTGTATGTGTGGGCCCCAGGTCTTACTAGTGAGCTGAAGGCGGGGATAGGTGGGCTGGAGGTGACAGGTCTTATTCTGGAGTTTCAGGAAGAAGCCACAGACAGCGAGAAGGAGATCAACCGACTCTCCATCCTGCCCTTTCCACCCAGTGCCGGCTCCATTCTCCGCAGGCAGCGCGAAGAGGACCCAGAGCCCCCTAAGAGGTAACTGAAGCGAGCAGCGGTAGGTCCCTCCTGAGGAAGGGTTGCTGGGTCCTGAACAGCTACAACCTTTGAGTTCAGCTGCAAGTCAGGCAGGACCAACGGTCCCCTCACTTGGCTGCCTTGTGGCCATCAGAGCTCTAGAATCAATGAGGTCCAAAGAGGAACCAAGTCAGGTCAGGGTAAGGTCAAAGGGCAGAGTGGGCTCAGCTGCAGCCCAGCACTGGGCTGGGGAAGTTACCACAGGCTGCCTGGGAGCTCAGATTCTGTATCTTAGAAACCACTTGGCTTAGGTTGGGGATGGAGAGGTTTCCAGGGGCGGGGCACTCAAAGCAAGAAAACCAGGCCTCAGCTTCAGTAGCAGGCAGGTCAGAAAGCCCAGGCCACATCCGTAATAGCCAGAGCAGGATGTGGGATTTCCTGTCTCCTGCTTCTTCCCATTACAACCTTCCCCCTCTAAGTGGCCTCCTGTTGGGAGGCTGGGGAGGGGGGAGGCTGTGGTGCCCACAGGCTTGCTGTGAAGTGACCCTGCTCTCATAAGGGGTGGGTGTGAGGAAGGTGCTCTAACCCAGGAAGTACAAGTAGGAGTCAAGGGTCAAAGGTAGCAGGGGAAGGTGATGGCAGGGTCAGAGGTCAGGGGAGGTGGCATCGAAGGACAAGCCAGGTGCGGATCAAATAGTTAACTCCTTGCCTTGTGGCTTCAGGGGACTGGGTAGCTGGGTGCTCTGGGCCTAGGGCATGATCAGTGTTTGCTGGGGGGCTAAGTTAGGACGTAGGGCAGGGTGGTGCAGGCCTCACCTGCCACCCTGTCTTCTCTTCATTCAGGTCTTTTAGCAGCATGTCGGATATCACAGGTAACTCCCAGGGCCCTGGGGGAGGTTTACTTTGGGGGAGTTTGTTGCCACTGGCCTGAACCTGCGTGTTCCCTTCCCCCTGGCCTGTCTGTGCCCCTGTCCAGGCAGAGAGGCTGTGTGGGAGGCTCCTAAGGATTAGGGTCTGGCTTGCACACCTGCTCCTGGGTGTGCCATGTGGGGCCCCTCATTTCCTTCCCACCTCTTCCTCCTCTAGGAAACTGGAGCCTCCCCCTGTGGCCCTGACCCAGAGCTATGCTCCTGGGGCCACTAGCCTGCCAAGGCCCCTTTCGCTGTCTTTGACCGTCTCTGTTTTCCAAACTCCTGACCTTCCTCTTCCTTTCTAGGGAGTGTGACCCTTAAGCCCTGGTCTCCCGGCCTCTCTTCATCCTCCTCCTCTGACAGTGTGTGGCCTTTGGGAAAGCCGGAAGGCCTCCTGGCCCGGGGCTGTGGCCTGGACCTCCTCAATAGGTAGGCAGTTCTCCAGGATGGTGGAGTAGGGTTTGCATGTCACCACATGGCTGCAGAGGGTCTTCAAACACGGCAACTCTGGGATTCTGTGCTCTGTGAGCCCCAGCTGCTCGCATCTCCCCGGGCCTCAGTTTCCTTACACGGCTGAAGGCAACAATGATCTCTTCTGCATGTGGGCGTCTGGAAACTTCTGGCTCATGTGAGAGCTCTGCCGGGCCCAGTATTTGCTGCTCATGCCACCCTCACTCCAGCTTCCTCCTTGCTAGTCATCCCTGCCCTGAACTCTGTGGGCAGTACCCAGCTGAGCCACCGAGCCACTTAGGATGGCCAGGGCTGGGGCCACCACGGGAGCTCCCGTAGCTGTTGTGGCCACAAACCCGAACCAGAAGTTACAAAACATTAGGGCAGGATGCCCTGACAATGACCCACTCTGTCCATGGGGGAAGGAGCCCCTCCTCTACCTCCCCAGGGCCACATGCCCTTTGAACTCAGAGCTACTGGGGAAAGTAAGGAAAGGTTGGCCAGGGAAGGGCCTGGAGTCAGTGAACTGAAGGGAAGAAGGGGAGATGGAAGGTGAAAGGTCAGGCCAGATGAGTCCCAACGGGCTCCATGACTCAGGCCGAGGACATGTGGATTTTGGCTTGTGTGAATTAGATGCCTGGGAGGGTTTGGCTGCTGGTGAGTGCCAGGGCAGCTGCTAGCTGCCGCACTCCTGGGACTAGGTGTTTTTTGTTGTTTGCTTTGTTGTGTTTTATTTGTGTTTTTCGAGACAGGGTTTCTCTGTATAGCCTGGACTGTTCTGGAACTTGCTGTGTAGACCTGGCTGGCCTCAAACTCACAGAGATTTCACCTGCCTCTACCTCCCAAGTGCTGGAAGTAAAGGCATGTGCCATCACTGTCTGGTTTAGGTGCTGTGTCCCTGTTTCATAAAATATAAAACTCTGAGGCATTAATGAATTTGTCCAGGATCATAGAGCAGAAAAGTAAAAGGGCCATCTTCAGGGACCCCGTCACACTCAGGTTCTGGGATGGCCTTAGGAAACACTGAATGCCAGTCAGTGTGACATGGGGTTCGGGGCAGGGAAATGAATCTCAAGTCAGACAGATCAAGACAGAGCAGGACCAGAGGCCTTCTGCCTCCTAGAGGCAGCTTGGCCAAGCCTCCAGCACCCCACCCACCTACCGCCACCCCCTGCTCCTCTTGCAGTCCCAATCCCCGCAGTGGGCCCAGTGTGTCATTGTCTCAGCTGGTGCAGGATGTGCTTATGGGGGAAGGGGCGGAGGTCCCTCCCTTCCTGCCTGCTGTGGCCCTTCCTCCAGCCTGGCTTGCAGTGGCTTCTGGCTGTCGTCCAGGGGGCGCCAGGATGCAGGACCGGGAGCAAGGCTCTGGTTCACCCATCCTGGGCTTGGGTTGTCTGTAATCACTAGGGTCACCCCTGCTGCCCCTGCTGTTCTGGGAAGGCAGGAGTTGAAGGAAGAATACAGACTGAGCTGGACTCAGGGGTGGCTGAAAGAGGAAGGGGGACAGGCCCTTCCCTAACTCCTCTAGGCCAGGGTGACCACTAGGGTCCCAGGATGGGACTAAAGTGGGGGAGAGCAGGCTTTGCACCTCGAGACTTGAGTTCAGATCTTGCTGTTTAATGCTACCCTGGGAGCTTGGGCAGGCCGCTTAATTTCTGAGCGCCTCAGTCTCCTGTGTGGTGTGAATTCACGACAGGGCCTCTCTCTCTCAGGTCCTTTTTTGTTGTTGTTGTTGTTTTCACGGTTCCTGATTTGAACAGAACCTGGCTTACTCTTGGGTATTCTAGCTACTGCTATGGCTTTGGAGAGCCTGTGTGTGTGTGTGTGTGTGTGTGTGTGTGTGTGTGTGTACACGTGTATGTACGAGTGTGAACATGTACGCATGCACACAAGCAAACGTGGCCTGTGGGAGTGTATGCATGCATGGGTGTGCTGTCATGGGTGTGCAGGTGTGGTGACCAGAGTTGACATTAGTGACTTTCTGCATGGCTGTCTACCTTAATTCCCTGCCCTTGGGGCTCACTGTTTCGCCTAGACCAGCTGCTACCCGGTAAGCTCTCGGGATCCTTCTGCCTCTGCTTCCCCAGTGCTGTGCCCGGCTTTCATGTGGGTACTAGGCATCCCAACCCAGGTCCTGCTGCTTATGCAGCAAGCACTTTATTTACTGAGATATCTCCCAAGGCCAGAACCCGCTTAGGAATTGTTCTAAGTCCAAAGCCACCGGAGGCTGGTGTAGTTTGAGCACACCTGCCTTCTGTCTGCGATGCTTGTGTTGGGCGTCATACACATAGTTCTGTCATCCCTGCAGCCTCTCGGCTCCTCTGTTAGGGCACAGACAGGGCAGGGCAGGGACAGCAGGCAGTCAGGCACTGGGGTGGGTGGAACAGAGCTAGAAGATGACAATAGATGGCAGTGGGGGGGGGGAGGTGGCAGGGAGGAGTCCAAGGATGGTGTGAGGTGCTGGGTACCGAGAGGGTGTTAGAGAAAGTTGGTCTGCCATCTCTCAGCAGAACCCTGCACCTGTCTATACTCACTCATGTGGTCCCAGAGACCTCTAGAACCTTCTGACCACACACAGTCTTTGTCCACGTCCACTACCCACAGCTTGGGCCACCGTTGGTAAGTGGTAACTGCTTTGTACCCGACATTTCCCACATCTCTAACATGGTTGTGGGTGTTGCTATCTCCCAGAGGGTTATCAGGAGCCCTCAGCCTCAGCATCCCAGATTCCTGACTGATGGAAATCAGTTGCATCCACAGCCTGGAGATTGTCCCACAGTGCTTGGTAACTCACAGGCTGTTACCACTCATGGCTGGCAGAAATGGCAGGTTCTCTGACATCACAGGGTGGGGCTGGGAGCCCTTCTCGGAGTTGGAGAGCCCCTGTCCTTCCAAGGCCCCAGTGCCTTAGTCTCAGCCAGGGTCAGGGTCAACTGGTCTCTCCAGGTCTCACCCCTCCTCTGAATCTGCCAAGGTTCCAAACAAGAGGATCTCTGCACTGTTCCCACCTAGCCCTAGGGCGTTCCCAGAACTCCAAGTGCTCAGAGCAGGCTGCTTGTTCGCAGAGGTCAGAGAAGTCACAGGGTCCTTTGGGGACGCTGGGAGGGGTGGTTGTCCACAGTGTTCCTGAGTCTTTAGGTCGTGGGGTGCACAGGGACACGGGAGGAATCTGAGAGCAGCTGTTCTGGTGCAGTTGTGAATGATAACTGTAGTCTGGGTTTGCAACAGTTGGGGAAATTGGGGCAATGGGATTGTCCTCAGTCCCGTCTGACGACAGGAAGTTGCCAAGGTATTTTTTATTACTATATTTTGCTTATTTATTATGTGTGTTTATGTGTGTGTATGCGCGTGTGTGTATGTATGCATGTGTGTGTGTGCATGCATTCGTGTGCTCGTGCACACATGTACATGTGTTGTATGTATGTAGATATGCGCATGTGTGTGTTGTATGTGTGTAGGTGTGTGTGTTGTGTGTGCGATAGAGCATTCGTGGAGGTTAGAGGACAACTTGTGGGATTATTATTATTTTTTTTTTATCTTGTGGGTTCCAGAAATGGAACTGAGGCCACCAGACTTGACAGCAGGCACCTTTGCCTGCAGAGCCATTTCATCAGCCTGGCCAGAGTTTCTTGAGCACTTTCAGTCTTAAGGACATAGATGCTGATGCTGTGCTGAGGGCACGCTGCATTTCCACTCGTGGCTGGACATGTCGGATGAGCTGGCGTTGAGGGCTGGGACACATACTGTTTCCCTCTATGGCACTCTCCGCTCTTGGCTTTTCTGACCTCACACCTTGGTAAGAAAAGCTGGGAAGAACCTGAAATCAACGGCTCATGAGGCAATGGTCCTGGCTTGGGACTGTGGCTTCTGCTAACATAAGGACTTGCCTTGCATGCACAGAGCCCAGCACAGTGTGAACCAGATATGGTGATGCACACCTGTAATCCCAGCACTTGGGAGGTGGAGGCAGGAGGATCAGAAGTTCAGGGTCATCCTCAGCTACATAGAGAGCCAGCCTGAGATACCTGAGACCCTGTCTAAGAGAGATGGAGTATGTCCTATTTGCTTGAGAGGAGGCAGGCTTGCATTTTGTATTCAGTTCTGCTAAGACCAGAATTGGTTGGGCCGGAGACTTCCTCAGCCTACTGTGGCTTCACAGCTGCTTGCCTTGTCTGTCCTTCATCTCACGCCCACGGGGCAGAGGGACACTATTGGCATCCTCATTTCATGGACGAGCAGCTGGTTCATTCTTGTGAGTCAGGATGAGCTTGTCACCTACATAGTTTACACTCTGTGCAACCGGGTTACAAAAAAATGCCAGAAAAAAATCCCATAATGTTTTAAGTAATTTATGACGTTGTGTTGGGATGTCCTGATTGCTGTCCTGGGTGGCCTGTGTGCTGCTATGAGTTGGACACGCTTAGTGGAGTCTTCCAGAATATTTTGCTCTGACTGATGGTTGGACAAGTGTCAGAGTTCCCCTTTCTAGGCCTCCACGAAACAGGACAGGCCCCATGGGCTTTCTGATTTGACTGAGGGGACAGGTGTCAATGCTGTTAAGTAGGATAGGCTCTGCTGGAGGAGAAGCCACTCCTCTGCAACTGGCCTAGCCTCAGCCTTGTGGAAGAGACTTGGGGCCAGTTTGTCTGAGCCCTACCGGTTCTCACCCAGGGATGGCAGGACTCTGCCTTGTGGTGATCCCAGCGTTTCTTTGGGTTCATAGTCAGTAGCCTCCATTGTGTCAAGGTATCAGGTGGACAGATGCCTTCCTGTGGCTCAGACAGTTGGCTGGTTCCAGCTGACTTTCCTGGGAGCCATTGCTCAGGATTCTTTTTGATTTTCGAGACAGGGTTTCTCTGTAGTTTTTGGTGCCTATCCTTGTAGACCAGGCTGGCCTCGAACACACAGAGATCTGCCTGCCTCTGCCTCCAAGTGTTGGGATTAAAGGTGTGTGCCACCACCGCCCGGCATTGCTCGGGATTCTAAATTGGTAATCAAAGTACAAAGCTGGGGTGCTGGTGGGGAGCACGTGGGGCACCTGGAATATCTTGCTGCCTCTGTTGCTGCTGCTGTTGGTATTGAACTGCCTATAGATCCCGTGTTCTGTGCCCAAGCCTCCCATCACCCTGGAGCCCCGACTCTTCTCATTTGTCACTGTACGGCTGTCTCTCACTGAGAGGGGACCCAGATGTATCTTCCCCTGGGGCTTCTTCCTACCCTCTGCAGCTGCTTTCGGATTAGATTCCGAATCTGCCACCCTCCTTGGTCTGTGAGCAAGACAAGGCTCTGGTTCTTCATCCTAGGTGTGTTAGACATCGGTCTGGGAATTAGGGGTACAGGCTGGGTTCCACAGGTGTCTGGGCCTGAAGGGTTCTAAAGAGAAAATGCAAAACGTGGCAGGGGTGCTGCTGGAGTAGGCTTGAAACTGGGGTAGGGGTGGGGCCGGGTGGGTATGTGGGTTTGTCTGGGAGGGAGAGGCTGTGTCTGACTTGAGCTTTGGAGCAGCAGCAGTATGACTGACCGACCAGGCTGGGGAGGGGGGGAAAGGTGAGGGCACTTCAGGGCACTGGCCCTGGGTAAGACTCGTGGCCTGTTTGAGGCAGCAGAATCCTGGCTGCTTTTCAGGCAGTGTTACAGCCCTGACTGGACTCTTCTTCCCATGTTCCTCCCCTCTCTCTAAGGTCTCTGGCCATCCGAGTCTCAGGTTGGAGTCCTTCTGGGGGCCTGGAGCCCCAGGATAAGAGTCCAGATAGCCTGCCAGTCCTTGGGGACAGATGGTCTGGGGCCGTGGTGCGAAGGGTGCTGTCGGGACCTGGTTCGGCCAGGACAGAACAGAAAGAGGTGAGGTCCCTCTCCCTGAGTCGGGACGAGAATCCTGTCTAAAAAGGATAGACATTGGTTGGTGGAGCAGCATCCATGGGCGGGGCTCCTGGGGACTGGCGGAAGTAGAACTGCTCTGCCCTCAGCCTGCCGTGACTAGCATCTATTTCGGTAGAGTGGGAGGTGGGGCGGGACGACAGACAGCATCTTGACAGAGCCACATCCCTAAAAATCACTCCCTGCTTGGGTTGTTCAGCCAAGGGCAGAAGGCACTGGCCTGGAGGGGGCAGGCCTGGAAGCTGGGGCCCAGCAGAGGACCTTGCCCTGGAACCAGGGCTCTACACTCCCCTTCCTGCTGGACTCAAAGGGTAAGCCTGGCCTGTGGGTGGACCTGTTGGACTCAGGGACCCAGGCATTCGGGGCTTCTTCAGCCGAGGATGGGGGTAGGAGTAGAAGGGCCCAGCAGCGGATGCAGAAGTTCACGTGTCCCGCAGGGCTGTGGCCTCCTTTTCGTGTGTTCCCGTGTCCTTTCTCTGTGTTCGCTAGGCGCTAACGATGAAAGCAGCTCCACATTAAGAGTCCAGAGATCTGGCTTTGAGTTCTGGCACTGTTTGTTAGGGACTGGGGGTCTCTGAGCAAATCCCTTACTTGTCTTCACCTAAGCTCCCCACTTGAAGATGGTCCTTGCAGCCCTATAGAGGGTTATATCACTGGCCAGCGAGGTTCCTGGAAACCAGTCCCTAGGCTCACTCGCCTCCTGTGTCCTCCCTGTCCTGCCCAAATTCAGCCTGTCAGTCCTTCCATGAGGCCCTGGATGCCTGGGCAAAGGGACCGGGTACAGAGCCCTTCTACATTCGAGCCAACCTCTCCCTGCCCGAGCGGCCAGACCCCCACGCCCTTTGTGTGAAAGCCCAAGAGATCCTGCGGCTGGTGGACCCCGCATACAAACGGAGGCAGGAATGGTTCTGCACTCGGGTTGACCCCCTCACCTTACGGGACCTGGATCGGGGCACTGTGCCCAATTATCAGAGGTGACACTGGAGGCCTGGGATGGGGACCCATGGGATCTGGTGCGGGGATGTATTCCTCTTTCCCCTGGACTCCCTCACTGCCTTCTGGGATAGGATGAGTTGGAGGAGGAGTCGGGGCTTGTTTTTCTCTTCAAGTGTGTGACCTAACTTCCTCCTGCAGGGCGCAGCAGCTTCTAGAAGGCCAGGAAAAATGCCTGCTCTCCAACAGGCACCGAAGTCCTCGAAGCAACGTAAGCAGGGATGGCGGGCAGGAAGAGGCATTGACGACCGACCAATAGGATGGTGTCCAGAGGGAGGGGTAGGCTGAGTATTCTTAGCATCCTTGAGGAAAGAGCAGGGGTGGGGCTACTTTACGATGTCAGCAGTATTTGATTGACCTACTAGGCACCCAGGAAACAGACGGCATTAGTTTCCTCGTGCAGGGCGGTGGAGAGATGAACTGTAATGGGATGTGCCCTGGGCTCAGGAGTGTGGCTCATACACTGTGGGCCCGAGAACAGCCATGTGCTCAGTCCCTGGGCCGGGTCACGCCTGTGCCCATAGCAAAGTGAGTTTCCCTGAATAGGTTCCCAGGAGACCCCTTTGCTGGAGAGTTGGCAGGGAGTGTGTGTACCAGATAGACTGAAGAGCCTGTAGCCACGGGGTTGCCTCTGCTGCTACCAGAGGTTGTTCTTCCTGCCTCCTGGACAGCAAGCAGAGTCTAGGAGTCTCTACATATCTGGAGCCTTGTGCCTGCCCCCTGTGCTTGCTCCATAGCTGTCCGGCTTGAGCTAAATAGTGTGGGTATCATTGATTTTCCTACCCAAGGTCTTGCTGCTAGTCCACTGGAGGAACTAGCCAGGGGCTAGGCTGGTCTGGGCCTGGGGGGAGACTTATGTGCGGACCTATTGAGCTTGGAAGAGCCCCCTTAGGATGGGTGTCCCCTGTGGGATGGGCACCCTCCTTGGGATGGACTGTGCTTTGTGTGACAATCTTCCTTCTTGTGCTCCTAGCTGAAGAAACGAGCCTTGGGGCTGGTGAGGCCCAAGCCTGCAGGGGGCGCTGCAGGAGACTCGCCCGAACAGCTATCCGCAGAGCCCTGCTCAGGTGAATCTGAGGGCACGGGGAGCAAGCCCACTGCTCAAGTGTCCAGTGCGCCTCTGAGCAGAGGCTGGTTTAGAGGTGGGGACAGTCTTGAGGGACAAGACCCCTGATGGTGGGATGGATTGAATGAAGGCAGCCGGTGGGCAGAGGTGTGTGTGTGTGTGTGTGTGTGTGTGTGTGTGTGTGTGTGTGATATGATGAGGGTTAATATCTGTACCACCTATCACAGCAATAGGGGCTGGGGAGGAGCTGGATGAGGAAGAGGCACTTCTGAGGGGCAGCAGAGGCTAGGGAACACTTTGTCAGAGGCCCTTTCTACCAGAGCCTCCAAGGCTTGACGGGAGCTTCTGCTGAAACAAGGGCAGAGCTCAGGCAGAGGCTGGATTCTACCCAGGCCCTCAGGCAATACTTATGTCACCACTGGGAGGATGTGGCCTTTGCCCTGGGATGTGTTGGGAAGCCAGTGGCACGGCACATTGAAAGCATTGAGTCACGTGATCGGGTTGGCTTTTGGAAGCCTCTCCCTAAGTGCTGAGCAGGAAGTGGCCTGTAGGGGGCAGATCTGAGACAGGATCAGAAAGCCACCTTCTGCAAGAGTCCCAGCTTGTGTGTGTGTGTGTGTGTCTGTCTGTCTGTCTGTCTGTCTGTCTATCTGTGTGAGCACAGCAGGACTCTGGAAGGGAAACTAGGTGGCAGAAGATGATGTTGGTTTTAAGTATCCCGTGGAGCTCCTCATGTCTTCCACGCCCCTCTCCTCTGCAGAGCTAGAGCGAAGCCTTAAACCCTACAGTCTGGTGCGGCCACTGTTGGTGTCTGCCCTACGGCCTGTGGTGCTCCTGCCTGAGTGCCTGGCACCCCGGCTCATCCGCAACCTGCTGGATCTGCCCAGCTCCAGGCTAGATTTCCAAGTGTGCCCTGCAGGTGAGTCTGCCACCTGGGTGGTTGGGTGGATTGGCGTGGGGTGGAGGGGGCCCTGGGTGGCACTGGACGGCCGAGCCTATGGACCCTTGTCCTGCATGTCCTTGTTCTCAGCAGAAAGTTTCTCTGGAGAGGAACAGTGCGCATCCTCAGCTCCCGGAGCCCCCAAGGCCTGGCCTGCTACCCCCGGGCTGGGCAGCAGGATCCGCGCCATCCAGGAGTCTGTTGGGAAGGTAGGTACTGCAGGGTGCTAGGCTAGGATGCCATTTGGGACCCAGAACCAGTATCTGCACCATCTCTCGGGCTCTTCAGTGTCTTCCCTGTCATGGCTGGGTTGGGACCATGACTCTTGTGGTCACTCTGAGGTGTGGACTGGTATTTCTTCCCTGAACATCCCTATTTCTGATCTTCCACTGTCCTGCTTGCTGACTGATGGGGGAGTGGCAGTTGAGATCCAGGTCCCTCATGACCCTGGGTCTCCAGTCTGCTTTGGTCCTTTGCTGATGAAGCAGGACTTTCTCCGGGGAGGTGATGACAGGGTGGGTCAGTGTGTGTGGGGGGTGTCCCAGGAGTAAACTATCTGTGTGTCCGAGAAGAAGCACTGTCTGTTGGAGCTGGGTGCACGGGGCGTGCGGGAGTTGGTGCAGAGCGAGATCTACCCCATCGTCATTCATGTGGAGGTGACTGAAAAGAATGTCCGTGAGATCAGGTGAGTGGTGGCCACAGTGGGCCTGTGGAAGCTCTGTCTGCAGCTTTCTGTCACCTGCCTGTCCATCTGTGTGTGCATGCTTGTGTTATGTATGTTTATTAGAGAGGGTTAGCTCTGTAACACAGGTAGGTCTGTATTTTGTGTATCATGTGCATGTATGTATCATAGGTGTATGTACTATGTATCTCAGATATGCAAGTTATCATATGTGCGTTGCATGTGTATCATATGTATCATGTATGTATACATTCCAGATTATTGTATCCCAGTGTATTATTTATTTATTATATATTTATATTTATTTATATCATGCTTTCAAGTGTATCTTGTCTATGTATTATGCAGGTCATATGTCATATGTATAACCCTCATGCCCTCATGCCAAGTGTACAGCAGGCTTGCCACATATAATATACATTATTTATTATATACACATCATGTGTCATATGTATATTGTGCTTTTGTTGAATTGTGTGTGTTGTAGCTGTGTGTATTGTGTATCAGCATGTATTGGTGTGTCATATATTATTTTTTATATATGTGTGCATATAATATGTATTGTGTGTATATGTCATATATGTATCATGGTATGCGCACATGTGTGTGTGTGAGCACGTGCACATGTGCAACCTGCTCTGACTGCCGCCCTCCTCTGCAGGGGCCTGCTGGGCCGTCCAGGCTGGCGGGATTCAGAGCTGCTTCGTCAGTGCCGGGGCTCAGAACAATGGCTCTGGGGACTGCCATGTTCCTGGGTGCAGGTGCCTGCTCATGCATGGGGCCATGCAGAAGAGCTGGCCAAGGTGGTGCGTGGCCGCATCTTGCAGGAACAGGCTCGCCTTGTGTGGGTGGAGCGAGGCAGCAGCCGAGGGGGCAGCGGCAGCAGCAGTGAGGCCTGAGGACCATCCTATGGCCAGGACTCTTCCATCCGATGCCTGGGCCTCCTCCACCCGGTGCCTGGACACTCCCCATTCGTGCCTGGTTTCACCTGTACTGGAGAGACTGCTGGTGGATGCGATGCTGTGTCTGCAGTGGAGTCAGACTTCCCAGTTGGGGCTTTCCTTGTCCCATGGACGCTCCAGCATGAGACATTGGTCCTGGACTCTGACCAGAGTCAGCCACTGGTTTTGCACAGGCTGTGGGGGTGCACAGGGCAGACCTTGCACCTGCCCCTGACTTGCTGCTCTGTCTCCTCACTGGCTCCCTGTATCCCTGTGTTTACCCCAAGGTTTCCGTTTGTGGGCCTTACGTGTGTGCCTGGGCCCTCTCCTTCCACACGCGCCCTGGAATAGAGTTCTCACACCGTGGTCCAACTTTGCACACTAATGGCCTCATGGATCTCTGATTCTGTCCCTCTACCTGGGTGCCCAAGGCCCCCGGGGTCCTCAGCCTGCTCTGCCACCATCATGTGGCCGCCACAGTCCACATCAGTTTTCGTGTGTACTGTCATGAGATACTATGGCTGCCCTGGTCTGCTTGAACCTGTATGTCTCTGTGTCATCTCTCCTTGTGTGTAAATGTCACACCGTCCCTGTGACACAGGGCACTAACAAATGTGTGTTCTGCGCAGCACACCAGGATATGTTCTCTTGGCCAGCTTCCTGTTCCCCACCTGCCTCTAGGAGGTCAGGGTGGTGGTGCTGCTAGGCTGGCCGCCTGAATGTTTGGCTTGTGGGTGACTCCCAGGCCCGTTCACACAAGCTGCATATAATGAGTCATTAAAGTTTGTCATAGAAGTCGGTGGCCTTCTGCTTGCTTCTGTCCCTGGCCTGGGGCCCCTGCCCCACCCCTCCCCTTCTCTCCATCCCCATGGCTGGCAGATTCCAACTTTCAGGTCCCTGCCAGCTTGCTCGGTTGGTGGGCAGGGTCACATTACCCTTGACTCCTCCCAGAGAATGCCTGCCATCTGTGCAGGAGTCACCTTACCTGCTACAGTGCCAGGTGGGGGGCCGTCGGCCCTGCCCTGCCCCATCCACAGTGTCCTCCGGTGCAGGTCACTGAAGCCAAGCAGGAGTGAGTGGCTTAAGGAGGCTGTCCAGGAGACCCAGAGCTCATCGTGGGTGTGTGGACGGCCCTGACAGAGCTCCGGCAGAGTGAGGATGGTCACCTCTAGGAGGAGCAGTCCTGGCAGACTGACTGGCTTTGAGGGCTAGGATTTCACTTACAAAACTGTACATTGCATGAGCATCCGGGAGCAAGTGTGCATGCATCGTGTCACTTGCAGGAGCCACTTCTCCCCTTTTGTCATGTGGGTCCTGGGGCTCAAACGTGGGCCATCAGCCTAGTCAGTGGGCTGCTTTACCGCCGAGCCTTCTCACCTGCCCTGAGATTCCTTTTTTAAGGGCTTTGCTGTGGTAACGCACACCTAGGCGGAGGTCAGAGGGCAACTTTCAGGAATGGGCATTTGCGTATACCTGGAAATTGAACTCAGGTCCTTCTGCCTGTGTGGCAAGCGCCCTTGCCCACTGAACCATCTTGCCAGCCCTCACCATCATGTTATAAATGGCAGAAGTATCTTGTCTAATGCCATACAGCCAGGGAGTGGTCCTGTCTGGGATCTGAACCCAGCACCAAGCCTGTGCTTTTCCCTGGTGGTACTTTGAGGAGGTGGGCTATGAAGGGGACAGGCAGAGGCTGACTTGCCTTCATTGTCCTAGTGCAGGCTGAGATCCATTTACAGCCACCAAGCACTTTCACAAGTAAGACAATAAATATGTAAAATACGCTGTGCAGCTGAAAGAGAGAAAGGAGAGAAGGGCCTAGGCTTCCCCAAGAAAGGAGGATTGTTTAAATGCAGTAGACAGGGAAAGCCTCATGGTGGAAAAAAATGTTTGTGTAAAGACTCAAAGCAAGAAGTGATGATCTCTAGGGAGCGTGGTACGGTGGGCACAGTCCTGCGGCACGTATAGGCCTGATGTGTGGTGGGTGATGCCAACGGCAGGCAGGAGGAAAAGTGAGCCAGGACCCAAGGCTGTTGACTCTGAAATTACGGGTATTGAAATAACGGGTATTGTCTCTGTAGGAGCCAGAGTTAGGGCTGTGGGGCGTAGGAAGCCTGAGGGGCTTCTTCCCATGCAGGGTCTGGTGTGGCTGCAGCAGAAGGCTGTGCTGGGCCCCCTTCAGTGGGTGACTCCCTGCAGCCGCCTTTGGGGCTTCCCAGGCCTAGCTCCGCCCCTCGGGCTGAAGCAGGGGCGGGGCCAGGAGCCAAGCGGCCCTGCCTGGAGGGAGGGCGGAGGAGCAGGTGGCGGGCTTGTGGCCTCTGCCGGCTGGCGGCTGGCGGGACAGTGGTGGCTCAGCTCTAAGTCTGGAGACCCAGCTTCCTTCTTTCCCATCGGTACCCGCCCCTGATGCCTGCCAGACTTTTGCCCATACCAGGGCCCCCGCCTGACCAGCCTCCCACTCCAGACTGATTGGGGAGTCGGGGGTTGAACTGTCTGGGGACCCGGTACCAATGCACTGTCGGGCCTTTCGGGGCCTGGCAGGAGCCCTCTTTACCCTCCTGTGCGTGGGACTCCTGTCTCTACGATACCACTCAAGTTTGTCCCTGCGGATGGCGCAGGACACGCTCAGGTTGAACCAACAGAACCCAGGGTCCCTGGAACTGCAGCTTGACGACATCTTCATCGCAGTGAAGACAACCAGGGCCTTCCACCGCTCTCGCCTGGACTTGCTACTTGACACGTGGGTCTCCAGGACCAGGCAACAGGTGACAGGTGGCCGCCTTGAGGCCTGAGAAAACTCCTGGCTGAGGAGCTTACCGGGGTCTTCCTGATGGTCTGGGGAGAAGCTGCCCAGTGGGGGGTCTTTCTGGGGTCTCTCCAGTCGTTCATTCCTCCATGCCTGCCCCCCACTGCCATGCTCCAGGGCCTCCTCGGATTCACAGGTCTACGTCTGCTGGGTTCAGTCTGGAGCCCTGCTTTAGGCTCCTCTGTCCCATTTTGGGTCCTCCCTCTCTTAGATTCTTGGTCCTAACTTGCCTCAGGGTCATGGTGGATATCTGAGAGCCCGCAGGAAGGTGCAACCCACCAGACCTGAGTAGTTGCCTACCCCGACTCTGAGGGTGGATGAGGCTGCCTGTAGCAGGGGTGTGGTGTGGATGCTGGGCAGACATTGAGGTGGGGCCTACTGGAAGGAGGCTTCCTCTCAGTTCCTGCCCCACTGTGCTGCCGAGGGTGTGCAGGGAGTGTCTAGCCTCCCAGTTTCCTGTGCTGCCGTTGGGATGCAGTGGCTAAGGCAGAGTGGGCAGGAGGTCAAGGTGAGGTGGAGATCTGCCTGGCATGTGGAATACCTGTGTGTGTGTGTATGTGTGTGTGTGCGTGTGTATGTGTGTGTGCGTGTGTGTACATGTGCTCACACACAGTCACATATGCTAAACACAGTAATAAGAACGTGTGGGGAATAAGTGTGGTTCCTGAAAGCCAGAGCCTTCCTCCCCATACTCAAGACCCCATCAGTTGAAGCCAGGGACGGGGGTACTAGAGACCACCTCAGGAGGTAGAAGTGGTTTCAGACATTTGTGCATACACATACTCTGCCCCCATTGTGGCTGCTGGCTCTGTGGGAGGAAGTGGCTGAGCCCCGAGGAGGGGAGGCCAAGGAGAGGAGGCTGTTCAGTGAGGGAAAGGTGGGGGTACCTGAAGAGGATGCCTGCCTCCCCATTTCCTGGCACAACATCCGGTACAGGCATGAGCCCTTCCCAGTAGAGTTTCCTGCATCCCTAGAACTCCCATGCCAATACAGTTTTCTTTTCTTTTTTGTCTTGAGGGGAGCATGGTTCCTCCTCGGAAGCCAGCAGGGCTGGCCCTCCACGCAGACCTTCCTGTTTATGGAGCTGCGTCTATGTGTACCAGGGAGCAAGACCTCACGTGGTCCCTGCCTTTCCTGTCTTGCTCACCATGATGGTGCCCTAGCCCCAAATGAGGAAACTAAGGCTGCAGAATAGAACAGGCTGGCCAGAGTCACCCAGAAGGCCTGTGGGCCACAGCGTAGTGGGTTTCCCTCCTGCTTCTCAACGGGGCCCCTTTCTTTCCTGCCACGCTCCCAAATCAGAGCTGCCAGGGTTACTGGAAGGCTGGCCCTGGGACATCAGCTGAGGTGCTAGTGCCTGGCAGAACAAGGCTGGCAAAGAGGCTGAAGCCTAACTGACCTGGTCCAGGGGCACCTGCCGGCGTCTCTAAGGGGCTTCAGTCAGCGGCATTGTGCTATCTGTGCTAACTATTTAAATGTCAGGTACTGACTTCCCATCCACAGTGAGGTCAGGCAGGGGCAGGAGAGGTGCTGGAACCCCAGCCAGAGCAAAGGAAAAGGCTCGGGAAGGACAGGAGACAGGGAGACCCGTTTCTTACTTCTGGGCTTTATTTATTTATTTTTTTTTCCTGTGATCTTGGCTACAGGCCCTCAGTTTCCACATTTGCACAACACAAGTGTCTGGAAACAGCCCTAGCTGGTTAACTCCAGTGCTGGGCACCCGGCTGGTTAAAGGTGATGGGGTGACAGGTGGCCCCGGCTTAGTGTGCCCGGATAGACTCATGTATGGCCTTTGTCTGGCAGAGGGGGTGGGCGGAGAAGGCTGTTTTGTGTGTTTTGAGCTTCAAGGAGCTTTTCTTCCTCTAGTCCCCTCCCAGGTGGGGGCTGGGCAGGGGGAGAAGGCTTCAGCCCTGGCTCCCCTTCACTGCAGCAGATGGTCCCTGGCCACCCCCTCCCCTGCCTCAGCAGCCTCCCATTCTCTTTGTTTCCCTGGCCTGTGAAACTGCAACTAACTATTGTCTGGGTCTCTTGCTTAAATAAATCAAATGCAGCCTCCTGCTCCTACCCACCACGCTGTGCGAAAGCATGGGCTCCTGGGCCTTCTCCGGTCCCCCAGACTCTGGCCTGGACCCTAGTTCTTTCCTAACTCTGCTCCACCCCCCACCCCACCTCAGCAAGTATTCTTAGTCTGCTTGTCTCATGCTCTGGACGTGCGTGACTTCTGCTACCCCAGAGCCATTTGGTGGCAAACGTGGTCAGGCAAGAAAGGCCTGACTCATTGGTTGGCTCCCTCTAGACCTGTGTTGTGAGTAGGGCTTGGGTGAGAGCAGAATACAGCCAGAGGCCAAGGAAGACAGCCCGGGGACCCAGGAGGAGGGTGGGCCAGGACGAGCCTTGGGAGCAGAGAAAGACAGAAGCCAGGATACTGCAAAGGGTGAGGTGGGTGCGCAGACCGCATGGGGCACTAGGGGAAGAAGAAGATAGGCTCTGGAAGTTCCAGGGCTCTGGAAGTGGGAAGAGGATGTGTGTGTGTGGTCTTACCTTTTTGATGCTGGTCATGGAATCCAGGGTCTCATACAGGCAATCAATAAACCCTGGCTCTTGCCTTTTTTTGGGGGGGGGATTTTCTCCCCTTCTCCCCCCACCTAGTGTTAGAGATTGAACCCAAGGCCTGAGCATGCTGGGTAAGTCTTAGGTCACAGCTTCAGTGCTGGCCCTTGCTTGTAGTACTTAGGAGCTCAGTCCTGATGCTCTAGCCTCCAGGGAAAAGTTACGATGACAGGGATTTGAGAGGCTGGGGCTCAACAGGAGGCCACACAGCAGGTATGAATAGGGGCGCCAGGGTCCAGGTGACAGTGTTGTGTGTGGGGGAGGGGTAGAGAGGATGATACCAGGCCGAGGTCATTTGAGCTCCCCTGAATATCCAGGGCTCTAGCACCAGCTCAATGTGATAGGCAGAGGCAGACCCCAGGAAGAGGGCTCAGAAGGC